CGTGTCAGGTGCAGGGTCTGCTGGCTGGGTGCTGGCAGGCTTGCACCTGGCACGGGCACCGTAGCCAGCCCGTGCCCCTTTAAGGGGTCCGGGACTGGGAGGGGGGCATAGAGTTTCCCTGGTGTTGGCCAGAGTGACCACCAGGGAAAGCTGGGGAGGGCTAGCCTCCCACTAGTTCGAATTAAGGGGCTACACACCCCTTAATTCGAACTAGTAAATTTGAAGTAGGCTTAAGCCTCGTAAAATGAGGTTTTCCTAGTTCGAACTAAGTGCTCCGCTAGTTCGATTTAAATTCGAACTAGAGGAGCGCTAGTGTAGCGCCTATGAATGTTAGTTCGAACTAACGTCCGTTAGTTCGAACTAACATTGTAGTGTAGACATACCCTGAGATTCCATAATAGTATAATATTTTATTAATTTGTTGTTATTAGCTATCTGCAACACAGTGGTGCCCAGAAATGCATCTGAGATCAGGACAACTGAGAGTATGGTTTTCTTCTCTTATACCTGGATGCCACCATGCCTTAGATTTCCTCTGTCTAGATCTGCCTCTGGTTTTGATGGTAAGATAGGAGCATTAGTTTTCTGGACAAATAGAAAAGTCCTCGAATGTCAGGGCAAAACAAATATCCAACTAAGCAAAGTCCTCCAGCCCCTTCTAGGCTCAGCAGCCCTTTTCTAGGCTTCTCTGGGCTCTCTGATTCAGCAGTCCATGGCCTCTTCTGGAAAGGGTGTCACCTCCACTGCTGTAGCTGACAAACTGAGCCATAGAGTAGTGGTCCTCAGCCGTTCCAAACTACTAGTACCCCTATCAGGAGTCTGATTTGTTGTGCATGTCCTAAGTTTCACCTCACTTAAAAACTATTTGCTTACAATATCAGACATAAAACTACAGAACTATCACTGCACACTGTTACTGAACAATTGCTTTCTTTCTCATTTTAAATATAGAACTATAAAATAAATCAGTTGGAATATAAATATTATACCTACATATCAGTATAATACTTAATCCTTTTTTCCACTTGCAAGCCTTGTCTAAAATCTGACACTCAGATAGTAGGGCTGAAGCCTGTAACTTAGGTTTATAAGGTCTAGGCAGTTGCCCAGCTTGTCACCCCGTCATGCCGGCCCTGAACTTGAAATCCCCCTAAGCCCCTCCCATGATCTCCCCATCCCCCAGAAGCCATAACCCCCAGGTTAAGGAACACTCCTGTAGAGCTAGATGGTTGACTACCATCTGGAAGACTTCTGTATTCCCCCAGGTTTTCATGTATCTGTGGCTGATACTGGTATAGGGGAGCTCAGTCTTCTCCCACTCCAGATTATTGCCTATGAGTCTTAAATAAGCAAATCACTCAAAAGCTGCCCTGCTTCCTTATTCCCCAGACCATTTTTACACAGCCTTTCCTCCTAGTTCTTTCTCAGTCCCCTTTTACTGAGCCCTGTGGGGGCATATTCTCATTTCCCTATCCATGGGGAACTATCCAGCAAGCTTCTATTCAACCTACCATTGCCCTAAAACACTTGTTTGTCTAATTTCTTGCCAGAAGGGAACAGCACTAGCAGACCTTGGTCACTGGAGCAACTCACAGCTCACTGCTTCTTCTACCAGCCCCCTTCCTGAGAACATCCAAACTTTTAAATATCCTCAGGAAGCCACACTCTTGGTCACCATCACAGTCACAAGATCTCACCCTTCCAATATATGATGAAGGAAGTAAGCCAGTAAGGTGGGAACTTGGTCCTAAACTCCTCTTCCAGGGCATCTCACCTAGGGGCAGGGCCCCATTGTGCCAGGCCACATACAAGTATAGTTAGTAAGAGTATCCGCCCTAACCAGCCCTACAGTCTAAACAAAACTCTAACGGAAAGGGAAACAGAGGCACAGGGCAGAGAAAAGACATTACAAAGGTCACTTAATAGATCTATAACAGAGCCAGAGAGAGGGGTCTCTTTACTTACAGTCCACAGCTGTACTGAAAAGTCCACTCTGCTTCTTATTCCTATAGAGCTGAAGTTGTAGGCTATACTCGTCTCATGTGATTGTTTAATTCAGTGGATTATATACCCATCTTCACTTTAAATGGTGCTCTGTATTTTAATACATAATTTAAATTATTGTATGGCAATATGTTCAAGAGATTGTTTTGCACATATGGCTCACAACCGATCTATAATTTTCTAGCATAAGCATTTCACTATTATGTAGAGCCTATTTTGCTATACATGACTCTAGCAGAAGTGCCACATTGCTTTGTGTAAAGCAGAACTTACACTATTTGATGAGGACATCGGGGCAGCAAGTATTCCTTTCTTTAAGAAGTCCTTGTCAGCTAAGAAGGAGCCTAATAATTATAAATCTATTTTCACTTTATTGTCCTTGACCGAGGTATTTGAAAGGGTTTGCTTATGTAGTCACATTGAAAAAATAATTTATGGGAGAAGTTTTAAGTCTGGTTTCTGGAGATCTGAAGATAGCAGGAAAGTTGTTTGCTAGCACTTCTCATGCTGATTCAATTTTGCTTTAACTTGATTCATCCACAGTTTGATTGGTTTTCTTGAATTTTCATGTAATTGAAATGATGTTTGAACCAATATTTGTGAAAAAGAAAAAAAATATTGCTATTCATGTTGGAAGTGTGTGCACTGCTAATTTGGGGTATGTCTACACTATAGAAGGTTTTTTTGAAAAATAGCTGATTTTCAAAAAAACCCTTCAATTATGTCCACACTGCAATTGCATTCTTCCGAAAGAAAATCTAAAGAACAGAGGGATTTTTCTGACATTAGTAATCCTCATTCTATGAGGAAGAAGCCTTTTTGTGGATGGGGAAGAGGGAGTTCTTTCAAAAGAAGAGGAAAGATGAAAAAGATGAAAAAGCACAAGTGCCCTGGTGGCCACTCTGTTCATAATAATCACAGCTGAAATGCTAGATAGCATCCACACTGAATGGATGCTATCTTTCAAAAAAGCAGACTGATTTTTCAATGTGCTTTTGCAGTGTGAACGCTCTCTTTTGGAAGAAGTTTTTCCGGAAGATCTCTTCCGGGAAAGCTTCTTCTGAAAGAAGCCTGCAGTCTAGACATAGCCTTGGAAAGTCACTGTTGGTTTGGGTGTTAGAAGAGAGAAGAGCAGCAACAGGAAGGAAGCAATGCTATGTGGTGTGAAGTCAGATTCACTACCAGCACAAGAAGTGGCACCTCTTAAAATCCAGGCTGGAAGAGGTTCAGAAAAGAACCACAAAACTGATTAGAAGATTGGAAAACATGTCTCAGAGTGAGAGACTCAAGAAACTCAATCTATTTAACTAATCAAAGAGAAAGTTTGGGATGATTTTATCACAGTCTATTTTGGGAACAGAAAATTTTAATAAAGTGCTTTTCAGTCTATCAGACAAAAGATATAACATGAACCAATGGACTGGAAGTTGAAGCCAGACAAATTCAAACTAGAAATAAGATAGATTTTAAAAAAATTAACAATGGGGGTAATTAACATTGGAACAATCTACACTGGCATTTTTTTTAAATCAAGATTTTTTTTTTAAATATATGCTCTAATTAAAAAAGGGATTAATTTGGGGAAATCCTATGGCCTGTGTTATACTGGAGTCAAATGAGATAATCAAAATGTGATTTTCTAGTGTTATAATCCATGATTTTAAAGGCTCACCCCTAGGGTAAGGTCTTGGGTTTTTTGTGCCCTACGAAAGCCCATGATACCATGTACATGTTTTGTTAGTCTATAAAGTGCTACCAGGCACTTTGTTCTTTTTTCAGTTTATCCTGTACAGACTAACTTGGCTGTCCTCTGAAGAAATTGAAGTAAGTTAGCCTTCACAAACATGTCTCCATAGAAGAGTCTAACTTGCTGCCTGCCTTCCAACCCCATCCATTTTCTGGACTGTACTGACCAGATGTAGAACTCCAGTAGAGGGATCAGGAACTGGAATGTCCATAATTTTTGACCTTTGGCAATTTTCCTGTCTGGTTTGAAATGCAAAGCCAATTTTTAAATGTTTCTCACTACATGGGAAAAATGGTTTCGGAACGGCGATGTCTAAAAGCTGTTCATTTGTGCAGTGACTCAGGAGAAATTCAAATGCTGCCCTCCTAATTAGAAGAGATCTCACAGCTGTTTTTTTGTTGTTGTTTCTATTGGTGGTGCACATTCACACATGCCTCGATGCACACAAAATTTATTCTGTATATGGATGGAAAAAGTAAGAAGGAACATTGGGAGTATGAAAATGCTTAGTTTTGATACTGGTGTTGTGATTAATTTCATTTTTACATGTGTATTATATTACAATGTTATCATTCATCTTTACATATATAAATATAATATTAAATTGTCAAGCTGACCCTCCCACCTCACAAAATTGTTATAATTTACCTGTTTCGATGCAACAATTCAATTTGTCCTAAACTGTAATTATTGAAAATTGTTCCATCCAAAAAATTTGATCAAGCTCAATGTTCTGAAGTCACAATGGTTGTTGGCAGTTTCAGCCACTAAACCACTTCATCTGTTCTGTTGCTAGGAGTCCACTGTCCAAACTCTGCTGGCTTCTTCCAGGAGAAGATAGAAGATAATAGAAGCTGAAATATATCAGGAAATACCAGTATGAATGTTTAAGTCTAGCTAAATTGACAAAGGAGGAAGTTAACAACGGAATCATGGTAATGGAGAATTACATCAAAATAGTGAATGGTGGGCAGGAGAGGGGGGATCCCAGTTTATTAAGCTGGCAGTTTTGTGGGCATTATCATACATTCTTGACATATAGTTCCATATTCTTCTTATGCTTGTTAAGAGATTGTGTCTAAATAATACAGCATCCTATCAAGAAATAATACTGGTGTGAATTTAAATCAAAGTGACAACTGAAGTGTTTGGTAGGTTAAGAATGGAGTGAATGAAAACTGCTTGGAGTTTTCACTAGAGAATTAAAATTGAATGTTCATCAATAGAAGGGAAAAAAAGCTAGATCAAATTTGATAACATTTGGCAGTTTTCAGGATAATGACATTCTCTGCTAACACAGCAAATGTGAAGATGATACTTCTGACACTTGCTGAAACACAAGAACATTGCACCAGGAAACATTCAAATGAGTGAAAGTCAACAGGATTTTAGACTCAAATTGACTTGACATCAAAGTGAGTTAAAATCAAAATGAGTTATCATCAGAAAGTCAAAATTGGGTCATGTTCATAAAATGAAAAAGACTGAAGCAAACTGATGAAACTTGGCAAGTTTCATTATCACAAACATTCTCTGCTAAGATACCGAATTTGACAATAACTTTTCGTGTTGAGCAAGGACATCATGTCTTGTTAGAAAACAGAGTGATGGCACAAATGGACCACAATAAGGCTATGTCTACACAGCAGCATTATTTTGAAATAACTGACATTATTCTGAAATAACAAAACCCGCATCTACACACAAGCAGTTATTTCGACATAATCTTAAAATAATGTTGAGCTGGAGGACTGCTTACTCCAACTCCTGTAACCCTCATTGTACAAGGAGTAAGGGAAGTCGAGAAAAGAGTGCTCTCTCTCAAAATAACTGTTGTGTAGACAGTGCCAAAAGTCAAAATAAGCTATTTCAATATAAGCTGCACACTTAGCATAGCTCAGGTTGTGTAGACGTGCCCTAAAAGTACAAAATTACTAGGATATCTTAGGATTGACATTTTACTGGGAAACAAGTATATTTTCATTGTCCTATGACTGAGCACATTCTGCTGGCTCTATTACCCTCTTACTTTAGCATCCACACATTGGCAAAACTTCAAATTTCATGTATGGATTACACAAATATATAATACAGAATGTCTTTAACTAGATAGTATCTATATATAATCCTTAGACTTTGTGTGATATGGCTGTAATTATGGAGATAAAGATATTTGTTAGCATGGGGCATTTCAGTTTTGCTGACAAACATATAAAAAGACCTAATAGCTGGAAGTTGAAGTTAGATAAATTGAACCTTGAAAGAAGACGTAATTTCATAGATTCTAAGGCCAAAGGGACCATTTTGATTATATAATCTGCCCTTCTGTGTAACAAAGTCATAGCAGTTCCTTGAATTAGTTCCTGTTGGAACTAGATAATCTCTTTTAAAAGGATATCTAACTTGATTTAAAATTATAAGTATGACGAATCCATCACAACCCCTTGATAAATTTTTCTTATACCTCATTCTTTCCTATCAGTAATGGTAATGAGATATTGGAACAGCTCACCAGTGTAGATGGTGGATTCAGCATATGTAGGAATCTTTAGAACAAGATTACAGATCTTTCTAGAAAATATATATTAATGTTATTTCTAAGAGAATTTCTATGGCCTATGAACATAGGGGTTTGGGACAGGATTGTTGTAGTGGTCCTTTCTGGCCTTGGAATATTTGAATTTATAAATCCTTCAGCTGATTTCCTTCCTCTATGGACCAAGGGGAGAGTAATGTGCATTGTGCATTGGTGGGGGAACTCCTTTTTTGATCCATGCAGGAGACTAACTGAACCCTTGAGTCATAAGATATAATTATAGTTAGATTAATAAAGAGCTACAGTTGTTATAGGTATGTTGAGAATGGGATTCACTGAATTATAGAATCATAGAATACTAGCACTGTGATTCAGTGAGGCTGCGAGGTTCAGCATGTCCATTTCTTAAAACTTCCAGGGATTTCAAAGATTTGCAGAAGGCAGGCATATTGCCTTGTGGCTGGAGACCTAACAAAGATTGTCTGGGAAAGTATTGAATGAAATACCAATATATCTTATACCTGTGGGCTTCCCCACTTACGGGACTTTAGGGTGCTTTGCATAACTACAGCCAATCTGGTATGACTTACCAGCTTGAAGGCCTTCTCACCTATGCTTCTGAGGCAGTAGCTGGTATAATTTAGGTCAGAATCACAACCACTATATAAATCTGAGCCGTGTATGTAACATGGTTATGGTGATACTGGTTTGATAAGTGAATGGAAAAGAAATGCAAAATGATAAATGTATTGCTTGGTGTGTCATAATACTTCTCTGTCCTCTATTTAGTTCCTATCTTACTTTATATATTAATGTGGGCACTCACCTTTTGAGCACCTCCTTGTAGCTAGGTGCAGTATTATAGTCCTTTTTCTACTACAGCTGCCCTTGTAGATTGTCAGCTGATATTGATGGGGTCTTCTGTGGTTTGGCCTTCCTTAACCAAGTCACAAGGTACAATCCCCTTGTGTGATGATAAATAGTTCAATGAATGGACAATCTATTTGTCCTCACTATGTCTTCAGCTCCTGATGAAAGTCCTTTAAACCCAGCCCTTAGTTCAGGCTCCTAATTAAGTCCTGTCCCATTCTTGGGATAACACCACTTTATCTCTGGTTGATAAAGGACCACCCACTGCTTCTATTTCCAATCTGTTGCTGCTATTTCTCTGGGCCTCCCCACCCAACCTGTCACTAATTGACAGTGGCTTCGTATTAGTAACTTCATACAAAAGTAGATGTAACTTAGTGGATACCGATATCTGCTACTCTTGGTGAATCTGGTCACTGTGGCTGCTTTTTTCCTCTCTATTGATGCAAAACAATGACAGTCTCAGATTAAAGAGCTGCTTTGAACTGGGTTTATAGCTACTTTGTATAAGCAAAATGGCAAAAAGCAGACAGTGTACAGTAGTCTGGCTCGATGTATTTAGAATGTCTAGAAATCAGGCTTGTAGACAGAATTCTAATAATGCAAAGAGCATCTAAGTATGGATTTCAATTTATCTACAAACTTCAGGATTGATCTTCCCAAATTTTACACACATAAGTAACCCTTGACTTGAATGGATTACACACCAGAGTCAATCTTACAGAATCAGGAAAATGGTACTATTAGATGTTATATATTGTGGCTTTAAGAATACAGAGACTTGCTGAAATACTTCACAAGAAACATGGTTTAGAATTACTCTCACAGCTATAGACTTTGCCAAGAACTAATTAAAAAGAAGATCTCATGAATAAACTGTATTTCAAGAGTGGTGGACATGGCCACCAAGTTAATTATCTCATCAAGTTGTGATTTTGCAAGTACAGTGATAGCATATGGACAATATTACATTTCAAATTTTTTGAGAAGTATAATTGGACACTATAAACTGTAAATTAGCACTAGCCAGTAGACGGCCAGATGGAGACCAGCCTTTTCTTGAGTGCACTGTGGGCAGGGAGGACACAAGGAGCCTTGCTTCACATCTTGCACAGCCCACATCAGAACTAATCCATAGATGGAGCATCTTCATTTATGGAAGCGCTGGAATTTCTCCCTCTTTGCTTCTCTGAGAACACACTGTATCCAGAAAGGGGCAGGGAGTGATGCAGACGAAGTGGGGTCAGGGGACTGCATCTCCACTATGCCCTAGCCAGTGGTATGAATTAGTTATAAGCTGAGTTTGCTACATATCATGAAAGGGTAAGCAACATTTTTCCTGGCGTCAGTCTTAGGTTTTTGCATAGTGTAGTGTCTAAGCATCCAATAACGCCCAAAGTAAATACTTCTGACCAATAGTCACTCTGCTTATTTCCCTCTGGTGATTCTTAGGCAATGTTGGTATGTAAGTGTTGTTCTTCACCCTGGACACGCTGTATAAACTTTATAGTATGTCCAATGAATTCTTCGACAGAGGCATAAACTTAAATACTATGAGGAAAAATATATTTTTGACCTAAGTGGTATATGAAGTATGATGCTCCATCAACTGCATTTATTGGCTCCTCTCATTTAGAAATGCAGGTATTGTGAAGTGTTTTCAAATTTTATGATAATAAGTACCATGTTAATGCACCTTAATAATAATGTATGCACTTTTCCTGTATTGTTGCTAAGAGTCAAAATAGTCACTTAGATCTTGGCCTGCCCGGGAGCACAAAGAACAATATGTTCCCCTCTCTCCCACACACCTGTCTATGAGGGAGCTACTCAGAGTTCAGAGTCCTCTTGAACAGAGGGGTGGAAAGAGGCAAGGAGTATGCAGTTTTTATCTTCACTCCCTATATATTCATCTGTTTAGCAAAGGCCATCAGCGGATTACAACCCACCTGGGATCAAGAGGAGACATGAAGAAATTATACCTATTGGGGCAACACCTCTTACTCTGGGCACATTGCAAAATAACAGGCTAACTACTTATCCCAATATTCCCCTGTATTACAGAATTCCAAAGTTTAATATTAAATTGTAGAAAAAATCCTTTATTAATTTAAAATGCTTATTAATTTAAATGAATTGTTATTTACATTGTAATATAGGATAAGCAGCATTCTTCAATTGGTCTTATTTGTACTGCAAAAACTCATTAATTCTAGCAGCATACACTGCATTAAATTTCATAGTTCCACATATGTAATTTATGCTTTATTTTGAATTTTTCTAACAAAACATTCCATTATAGTCCAAGAAGGCAGATTAGTAAGTCCATATAACTCTTTTGGTCCTCTTCCAATATTCAATTTGTATTCTATGAAAACAAGTCCCTGTACTCAGATAAACAAATGGTAGTTTGAATGGCTGACTCAGAAAACATGGTCTTAGGATGTA